CCAAACCTGACTGATCATTGGAATTCAAAGGAGAGTGTTATTACAGTTACAGATGCCTTGGACTTCACCCAAGATTTTCTAATCCTAAATCTAAATATTTTCTATGTTTAGAGTGGGACTTGAGAATCTGAATTTCCTTTGAAACTATACAGGTGATTGTGATAAGCAGTCACATTTGGGAACCACTGATACAGTACTCTTATCCTCCAATCCCTTGACAGAAAAAGTATAGAAATACATGGTCAAAAAGGGTCGTCGACATGAAGAGGAGAATTATGAAGACCTAAACTGTCATAACCCCACTCTACACATTCTCATTAAAGCTGTGTTTAGATATTCTAGGTGACCCTTTTGTTGTGGGTCATCCAGACTATCTAAGCCCAACAAACATATCCAGAAGCATATCATACAGGGGACTGTCATCTCCAGCACCTACTTAAGCCTATCTCTCCAAGGCATGACATCATTAAAAATGAAGTGGGAAACTGAGGCAATGGTTCCACCAATTTAAAGCATAAACCCAAACTAACTATCTTTATGTGAATGTGCTGAAAATGTGTACAATCCCCTAAAAAAGTTTCTGAGGTGATTGTATCAGCTTTTTATTCCCTAATTCAACTAAACATCACAATATACTTTTTATTTATCCCCAAAATATTTTCTAAGTACTTATTTTGGACAACATGAAGGATACAAAAATGAATAAAACAAAGTGCCTGTCTTCAAGCTGGTAAAGATACAGCCATAAACATAAGAATTGTAGTTTTCAATTTTAAAAACTTAAGTTTGGCTGAATTTTGGAGATGGTGCAGGCAATCAAAAATAAGCCAGAAATGCTCATATTATAAATACGTTCTGAAATAACAGTCATATCAAGCTGGTGACCCTGGTATAAAGTACTAAAAGAAACAATATATTTGAGAATCTCAAGATGTGTGCTTGAGTAGGCTACTTGACAACTGTAGCGAGTTTTTAAGTCTTTAAAAACTAGTCTCAGAGGGCTAGTCTTTCAGCACTCTAAGCCTACTTCTTTCTTTTCTTTTCTCTTTTCTTTTTTTTTTTTTGAGACAGAGTTTTGCTCTTGTTGCCCAGGCTGGAGTGCAATGGCAAGATCTTGGCTCACTGCAATCTTTCCTTGAACAATTTGTATCTCACAAAATTGTGAAAACAAAATGAAATAGTACAAATGTTAAGGTATCATGGATTTTTTTTTTTTCTTTTTTGAGACAGGGTTTCATTTTGTTGCCCAGGCTAGAGCACAGTGTAATGATCACAGGCACTGTAGCCTCGACCTTCTGGGCTCAAGGGATCCACCTCAGCCTCCTGAGTAACTGGGATCACAGGTGAATGCCACTATGCCTGCCTAGTTTTTTTTTTTGTTTTTTTTTTTTTTAATAGAGATGAGGACTCCCTATGTTGCCCAAGCTGGTCTTGAACTCCTGTATTCAAGTGATCCTCATGCCTGGGCCTCCCAAAGTGCTGGGATTACAGGTGTGAGCCACTACACCCAGTCAAGGTGTCATGACTCTTATAGATAATGCTCTTAACTCTAATAAATAATAAAACATGACTTTGAGTTGATTTTTCATCAATGGTGACAAATGGCTATTAACCAATTACCTTTTCATCTGGCCCTAAAACACAAAGAAGTCTTGTTTGTCATTGTTGTTACCAGATGTATAGTTAATATACATTATATGATAATTTTATAAATTGGTATATAAGCAAGTATATAAAAATAAATACGCACATTAGGTAGTCATGAATATATTTAAATATTTACATTATGCATACACCTTTCTAAAGGAAACACTGAAGTCACCAATTTAATGGAAAAAAATTTCATCTACTTTAGGGATAGACATTGGACAAAACTTCACAAGTCTATATATTTCATTACGTTTCTGATTAAACAGTGATGAGAATGACAGAGTCTCACAGGAATGTTCAACTTAATTGTGTCAAACATGTAACTGTATATAAATTCTATAGGGACTGCATTATTCTATGGGGACATGAGTAATGTTTTTAATACAAAATTCCAGTTAATTGACTGGAGTAGACTAATCATTAATTCTAAAACATGCTTCTGGCAAATCCCTATCTACCCTGTATTTTCCCCTAAAGCATATATTAGCTATGAGTAGCATGAACATAAAAGTTGTAGTTACCAAAACTTCTTTTTACTTCCCTCTTTCATTAACTATATTTGTTAATACACTAGGTTTTATCATAAATAGTAAACAGTCAATTCACAAGTTAAGAAAAAAGATCTAAGTGTATTTCAAAACAGGATCCTTCATGTTCTTTGAGTAATCCAGGCAGCAAAGTCAGGAATGCTCATGAGTGCTACTGGATATTAGTGCTAACTATTAATAATATGTGCTTACAATTATGCCCTTTCATCCAAGTACCTCAAAGAGCTTTCATAGCATTAATTTGTTATTTCCTATAATATCTCTGAGAGGCAGTTGATAGAAAGTTATTATTACCTCTATTTTACAGTCAGAGAAACTAGAGCATAGAGAGGTTAAGTGACATTGCTAGGGTCATACGGTGAACAACTAACAAAAGAGGGACTCAAGCTAATTATTCTCATTTCCTGTTCAGTATATTATCCATTATATGGTTGTTCAATACACCTAAATGCTTTTTTATCCAAGGCAAATTGAGAATACTGTATTTAAATAATCTACGATGTAAGTGAATGAGTTTCTCGTTTTTGTGTGTTCAAAAATGCTGCTCTACAGGGATATAGAGTTAAAAACTAATAATTAGTCTTTGGTTTGCAGCTGTAGCTATTATTTATAGGGCTTTTACTACCTGTGGTTTTCTGAAGCTCTGCTCAAAACGAACTATTCTATTTCTGACTGCTTTATGCTAGGTTAGCATAGCTGTGAGCCACCGAAAAGCAGCTGAGACAGGCTTACTAATGAATCTGAGGTTGTCTTTCATTGCATTCCTATTGCTCTCTTCTTGAAGTCATCCTCCTTCTAGTTCTCCATTGAGCAGATATTTGTGCAACCCACCATCCTCAATCCTTAACCTATGGCCAGCTTAACTGTTGTCAATGATTAAATTTAAAATATTTTATTGGAACGGAGCAATTCCGAGAGAATAAAAAAGAAAAAATTAAAATATTAAAATATAAACATAGATAATATTTCATTTTATGAGTTAATGATGCTATACTATTAACAGTTACCACTGTTACATCCAGTTTCTGCTAAACCTGACCTTTAGGGTCCTTAGAAGACCATTAAACATTAAAGTATTGGTCTATGGATGACACATATCACCATACTGGGTTTTTTAATGCGGTATTTCAGTAATTTTCCCAAGTAAAGGCAGGGAGAAAGGAGAAGTAGTTTTGAAACTGTGCTCAATGACATAAGACTGCAGTCAGCTTGGATGTGGTAATGTAACCCTGTGGTGTTTCCAACTTCAGCCCCGCTCCTCCCTGAGCTCTAGACCCATACAGCAACCACCATTAGACAGCACCACTCTTACTTCACTCATCAACTCCAAAACTGACTGTCCCCTCCCAGGACTCATTCTAATTCTTCCTTATCTTATTTAGTAAAATACGCCCTTATCCTGCCCCTCCCTCAAAGCAAAACAAGGCCTCATCATTGCCTCTTCCATTCTCCTATCTGGCAGCTGCCCCTAGCAACCAATTATCAGTTGATCTGGTCTCTTGAATATTTTAGGAATCCATCTCCTTTGGATGCTCACTACCACTCACACAAGGATCGGGCTTCTGCAATAGCCCCCTTGTGGGCTCTCTGCTTACCCTTCTCCTCTGCCCTCCCACCTCCACCCCGCAAGTTGTATCTGTTCTCTACCAACAGAAGAATAGCTTAAATTGTAATCTGTCCACTCATTGCCTCACCAGGGCATAGATGATTCGTGATTTGGCTCCTGTTTTCTTCTCTAGCCTCATCCTTTTCAGCAACCTAAGTTTGAAATTTAAGACCTGTAATTATTACTCATTCTCCTCAACACATTATTTGTCCCCGTGCTGCATCTCCTTTCTGTTCGGATCCGGATTTGCCATCCCACCCCTTTTTTTGTAGTAGAAAATACCTATTTATCTTAAAAACTCTAACCTACAGTTAGTAAAGCTATCCATTCTTTACTCTGTACATCTTGATATACCATACTTTCAATAGCAATTATTTGCTTTCATGTCTGTCTGTCCACTAGACTGGACAATACTTGAATGGCTCATACCAGGAATGTAGTTGGTACTCAATTTGTAGGAAGCAAAGAGAGATAAGCGAATAAATGTCAAGACATAAGAATCTGTAGTTGCTAACTTAAATTTACGGATTTAGTGAAACTACTTCTCACAAGCTACCAAATCACAGTGCCATGGGGCCGCAAGATGATCTCAGTGCCACACCGACACCTGACCCGCAGAATCGCAGGGGGGGTCCGATACCCCTCAGAAAGAACTCGCAGACCGTCCGAGGAGGCGAATTCTCCAGGGGGTCAGCAGTTAGATGAGGCCCAGGGCAGCCACGAGACCCTCCAGCCAGGGTAGGCGGCTGACCCGCCTCCTGGGATTTGGCCCGCGACAAGCCACGTCGCCAGCTCCGCTCTGAATACCTCCGTCCACGCCACCGAGCGGCCTCAACCCTGAGACGCCCAGGGAACAGGAGCTGACCCTCTAGAAGCAAGATGGCGGACTCCGCTCTCCCCTCCTTCCCGCAAGAACCCCCTCCTGGTCCCCAAAATAAAGACAAGGACACCGGGGCGACGCCGCCGAGATCCGGGAACCTCCGCGAGCCCGCAGCCACTCCCGAGCCCCCGGGAGATGACTTCACCTCGCGGAGCTCAGAGAGCCGGGGGTGGGGCCACCGGAAAGACAGCGCAGACAGGCCTCACCATGCAGGGGGCGGAGGCCGTGCAGCCTGCGCCCTCCAAGCCATTGTTCTCCTGCCCGGGCCCATGTTCACCCTCCTCTCAGCCCACGGACAGGAAGTCGCTCCCCAGCCGCCCCGCCCCGCTCCCCAGCGCCCCGGAAGTGATCTGCGGCGGCTGCTGCAGAGCCGCCAGGAGGAGGGTGGATCTCCCCAGAGCCGAGCGTTGGAGTTCTCCTCCTCCTCCTCCTCTTCCAGCCGCCCAGGCTCCGTCGCCACCCGTCGGACTCCTCCTTCGACCGCTCCCGGCGCGGGGCCTCCCAGGCGACAAGGACCGAGTACCCTCCGGCCGGAGCCACGCAGCCGCGGCTTCCGGAGCCTTCGGGGCGGCGGACTGGCTCGGGGTGCAGGTGAGCGATACCCGCTCGGGCCGCCCGGGGAGGGACTGGGGCCACCAGGGCGGCGGCGGGGGTGTGTCCGGGCGGCGGCGGGCCGAGGCCCTTACGCGGATTCGGGCTGCCGAGATTGCACATCCCGCGTTCTGCCCGAGGTCGAGCTGCGAGATGAGCCCGGCTGGAATCCGGGGCACCGCGTTCGCCGCTGTGGGGCGAGTGAGCCCCCAAGAGCGGGCGGCTGCGGAGAGGTCCCCCGCGCCCGGCAGCCCCTCTGAGTTGGCCTCGTCCGAAGGTCACCCCGCACCTCTCGTCCACGGCGCCCAAGTTCCCGCCCGGGCGGTGCCCGCGACCTGGGGCAACCCGCTGCCGCCGCAGTCCCCGCGCCTCACTCCGCCCCTCTCCCCTCCTTCCCTTTCTTTCCACTCCTTGCCTGTACTAGAGCTGCTGCTTTTTAAGCATCTCCCCTAGGGTTTTTTGTTTGTTTGTTTGTTTTTTGCCAGTTAAAGGAATGTTTTTTCAGACTAAAGTCATTAGACTCCCCGCGCTGAACTGACTACCTGGCCTTGGGCGCTTGCACCGCTTTAGCCCATTTTCAGGTAATCTAGCTTCTAAAATGAGGAAGAGAATACATTTTGGGAGAGAGGTGTTTCCTCTGTGGTTCGTTTCTGAAAGATTTCTAGAAGTAGAAGATGTGATTGGCATGCTTTAGCCTGTATATATGTGTGTAAGTCGACGGGGGTGACGGCACACGGGTGGCAGTGTTGTTTCAGGATTTAGGGAGAATTAGGGAGTTAACTGGCCTGTGCTCGGAAACCTGAATGTCCATACTTGTAAGAGCTCATCCAAGTGTCGCTGAGGTAGTGTGAGAAGCCCCGTGCCACGCCCTACGTGTCAAGCTGAAAAGCACCTAATTTACAAATTGTGTAGTGTGTGTGGGGAACAACCTTTATAAAACATTATAAAACATGTATCATAAGTTAATGCTTTTCCAGGAAGTAAATTGCAACTTTAATCATATTCCAGAAATTGGATAACAGATTTCATTAGTAAACTCTTACAGTATGTTTATTAATGTATTTCAGTGTGTCTTATTAGCTCATGTTTTTCTGTCTCTGGAATACAATATTATTCTAAACTGTCTCTTGTATTAAAATAATAACACTATTATTGTAAAATATTATCTGAAAACACCATTTTTTGACCTTGAATTTCTTCAGGGCAGGAGCCATGTCCTACTTACCACTGTTTCTATGCAGAATGCCTTGAACATGAAGCTGTTCACACATTTCTGCACTGAATGAATGAGTGTGTAGGTTATCTCACAGTCACCATCCAGGAGTTGCTTATTTTTGTTGGGCTAGGCTATTTGGTTTGTTTTAGGTTCTTGCCACATACAGACTTACTTCGTCTTTACATTCTTAAGCAGAGTCAAAGAATTCTTTACCTTCCAAAACTAGCCTGCTCTGAAAGGTTAAAATTATATTAAAATTGTGCTGGGCATTGTAACTTGTATTCCAGTGTTAAATGCTTACTACTTGAGCATATTCAGAGTTAGTAGGAAGAGATTGCCTGGTGATACACAGCAAGTTTATGTTTGGGATTGATAACTGTACCCTATCTTAATCAAAAAGAGGAAATTAGGAATTATCACTGTTTGGAAAACGTGGTGCTTCCCAGAATGCTTATAGTGGTTCATTCTTCCCATGAATACATGCAATCCTCTGACATCCTGATGTGACCTTGGCATGATTTACCAATAGCCTCTTTTACATTTATTTTCCAAGATCCAGATGCTGTTCTCTAGTGTGTTTGCTGAGTGTGCAATAATACATATCATTTATTTTGAAGCAGTACTTCATTACAACACTTTCTTCACAGGACTTTCCAAAGGAAGAAAGGACTAATTATAGAAAAGAATCTTGTCTACCATTTGTGAGGGAATATTTTTGTCTATAGATGGTTGGATTATTTTCATGTTAGGGAGGTTCAAATAAGAAGAAGGTGCTGATGTTTTCTGTCCTCTCCAAGTATCTGGTGGTGGTCCTGCACTGTTTTTCCAAGCTTAGCTTCTACAGAACATAAATAAATGTACCACTGTCAATTCTTGTAGATATGCGTATCAGTGTAATATGCATTTGTATTCTTTAGTAGATGAGTGGCAAGGACAATTACTTTTAAAATAACTGGAATAAGAGGCTGTGAATGTTAATGAGGAAAAATATTATGATTTTGAAGTAGATAGTTTATGATTTTCATTGTTTTATAAAATGTTTTAACTCTAAGACACTAAGGAGAGGGAGGCCAGCAATTTCTTATGTCAGTGACATTACCACTATACAGAGGTTAGATTTTCCTTCTTTAATTCAGTAGTCCTCTTGGTAATAAGAGTTCTCATGTGTTGATTGCCTGCCAAGCACTGTGATAAGAGCTTTACTTAAATTATTTCTAATCTCCACAACACTTCTGCAAGACAGGTAGTTTTCCCATACTTTATTAAGGTAAATTGAAGTTATTTGCCAGAGGCTGGGCACCTAGCTTCTGTATAGTAGAGCCTAGATTTGAAAGTAACAATTGCTGAGAGCATTGAGTATTATTGTAGTTAATCCTAAATGGCTGTGGAAAAGGCAGTTCTGACTGAGCTGGGAACTGGAGCTTCAGGAAGGCGAAGATACTGATTCCTCTCTCTTGGACATCAAATGTGGCCTGGGGTTGCCAGTGGCCCTGGCCAGGTGGCCTCAAGCAGCAGCCATTCTTCTCTTTTATCTTCAGTGTGCCTACAAATACAGTGTTACCACCTTCTATGTGTGCCATGATGGAAAAATGGTTGTGCATTGTTCCCGTCAGTGTTCTGGTAAAGTATTTGGACTCAGTTCTTTTGATTAGTGCTTTTTAAAGTAACAGAACTGTCCCTGTTTGAGAGGAATACCGTAAGTCTATTTGTAGTGACCTTTCCTTGAAATCACATTGTTTTTTTAGTTCTTTCTTTCACTAATGGAAATTGGGGAGAAGCTAAGGGGGACAGTAGAAAGAATGGTAAAAGAAGCAGAGATGTTCTGGGTCTGTTTTTAACCATTTGAGGCCGTTAATCATTTTCTCTGGGTTTAAGATGGAGGCTTAAAGGTGGCAGAAGTCTTGTAAGGGTCTAGCTGCTATTCAGTGCTGGTAGAATTCTCTTCCTTCCTTCTAAGCCTGTGCACTTTTTAAAATGCACTTTTAAATAGGCTTACTTTGAAGAATGTGTTTTTTTCTCTCTCTCTTTCTGTTTTTTTAAAGATATACCCTTAAGTAAAAAACAGCTGATTATCTGGCCCCCATAAGTAACAGTTATTCTGTTTTTTTTTTTTTTAAGACATCTTTCTTATTACCTTATTGCATTCATAAGGATTTGGGTTGCCATATAGAAAAAAAGAAATTAAACTTCTATGGGTTTCTATGTATGAGTAAATTTTAGATGAGAATTTGCATATTTGATTTAATTATACGTAAAGGTATTGACTTAGTTTCTCAAAGTCAAGAGGGTAGTCTTTACAAGCCAAAAAAGGCATGTCTCCATAAAATGATACTGTTCTTAAAGCCCTTCACCGCTAGGGTCCTATATTACATGCAATAGATGTAACACTGGCATACATAATCTCCTTAAAGTCTGGGATCCAATTTTATTACTGAATTTACTTTTGAAACTAAATGTCAGGGTTTGATAGTGTTATTTTGGACAATAAGACACAGTTAGATTATAAAATGGCTTATACTCCCTGATTTATTGGGAAGGTGACCAAAGATCCCCCAGTTTCCAAAAGATTGTGATCATCTAAGCCATGGGATCCGTTTGCTTATGTAGTCGAGAAGCTAACGTAGTACTCCATTGAAAGTGGAGGTTGCCACACTGAGCGACTGAACACTGAGTTCAGCTGCCCTGTCTAGATTATTCTGGATTACTACAGCAGCCTTATAGCCTGTGGTTGGAACTCATCTGATACTTTTCCCATTCTTGTGTAGAACAGTGGTGATATTCCCCTGCTTGAAATCCTCTTGTGGCTCTTTTTTGCCCATTAATAAAATTCAAACTCCATTTAGCCTTAATCTCATATACAAAATCTTCAAGATGTGCTCCTTACCTAACTCTTTTTTTCCCCTTTATCTTTCATATTTTTTCATTTTTTTCTTACCTAACCCTTTAGCCTTATCTCTCTTCTTGGATGATCTTTTGTTCTAACAATACCCAGCTTCTGGAATGCTAGTGTTTGTTTACTCAGTCCTCCATTTCCTCTTCCTGGAATTCTAGCCTCTCTTCCTTCCCCTAATTTAGTATAGTCCTACTGGTCCTTCAGAATTCAGTTTAGGTTATACTTCTCCAAAAAAAATTACAATTAGGTTCTCTCTCTGGATCCCATCCCTCAAAAAAAAAAAAAAAAAAAAAACCTTCAAGACTGGGCTGGTTGCTTCTCTTATGTCCTGTCATAACATCTGCTACAGCTCGTACTACACTGGAGAGAGTACTTTCATTAGCCTGTTGTAAATTTTGTTGACAACAATCCGCAGTAACCTCATAACTACACACACACACGCTTTCTTTCTCTCTCTTAAAGGCCTTCTTCATAGGCCTTTATCAATCAAGTGCCCAGGCTTTCTCAATTCATGGCACCCTTATTATCGCAGTAATTTTTTTCACAGCATCCCTAGGTCAAAAGAAACACCTAACAGTTTAATTTTTTTGTTTGTTTGTTCTTTTTTTTGAGATGCAGTCTCGCTCTTTCACCCACGCTGGAGTGCAGTGGCTTGATTTTGGCTCACTGCGACCACCACTTCCCAGGTTCAAGCAATTCTTCTGCCTCAGCCTCCCGAGTAGCTGGGATTACAGGCACATGGCACTATATCTGGCTAATTTTTTGTATTTTTCATAGAGACGGGGTTTCACCATAGTGGCCAGGCTGGTTTCGAACTCCTGACCTCGTGATCTGCCCACCTCAGCCTCCCAAAGTGCTGGGATTACAGGCGTCAGCCACCACGCCCTGCCA